CCTCTCCACTGGGACAGAAGTGTTTGCCCAGTGTCGCCCGTGCCCTGCCCTCCCTCGGTACCCTGTGCTCCTGGAGCGCGCCGTCTAGAGGGGCAGAGAGAGTCGCAGAGGCCGAGAGCGCAGCAAGGAACAAGGGCTCTGACTCGGAACATCCCTGGAGACGGGACCGGGCTAGCGCGCCCGCGCGGTGCTCGCACAGAGGGAGGCTGTGCCGTCGTGGGGAGGAACGCAGCTGCAACTTCAGGACGAACCCGGGGCCAGACACAGAAGACCACGGCCTGTGTGCACGTCCCCGAAGACATCGTGGTGACATTTGCGCAGCCCGGGAAGGCGCGGAGCTCATCGGATCGCACACCTCCCATGTGCCGTGTGAGCTGTAAGTCCCTGAAGCTGTTCCATGCGCCGGTCCTCGTGGCAAGTGCAGAGACGAGGTGGGGGATGCAGGAAATGAGCCCAAGGCGGCGGAGGTGGAAGGCAGAGACGCGGGTTCAGGTGAGACGCTCCCGGGAGGCAGGGGACGTCTTCGGCGGTGCCTGCAGGTGGGGGCGGGCGGTGGGGGCCTCTCAGCAGCTGCCCGTGTGAGCACAGGGCCGTGGGCATCCCCGCAGAAAGAGCCCCGCCCCGCTGCCTCGGTCCAGAGAAGTCCTGACCCCGGGTCGCCCAGCTGTGCACTTGGCCAGCACCCGGAGGAGGAGGGGAGAGGCAGGTTGAGCCACCCCGTCGGGCTTTTCCCCACAGCTCGCGTGGGTGGCTCTCAGAGGGCCCTGCCTCTGCACCCGGCCGCGCACCCGAGGGATCACCGGACCCAGAGCAGCTTCCCAGCAGGGCGGTGGCCGTCCCGCCACCCCCGGCCGTGACTGCTCCTGGAACTTCTGGGCTTATTTTCACCCCGAGCACAGAGAGACTTGGGCGCAAAGGGCCTGCCCACGGGCAGCCACGGCAGAGGTGCCAGAGAAGTGTCCCACCCTGCCCCATGGGCGCTGGAAGACGGGGTCCCATTCCCGATGAAGCACCTCCGCATGCGGCCCCTTTCCTCAGCCCTCCTCAGGGGCCTCCCCCAGCCGCGGCCTCCGCCCACACCGACCAGCAGGGAGCCCAACAGGCCCTGAAGGACCCCGCTCCCCAGCCCAGGCCAAGGTGGGCTGTCCCAGTCTGACGGGGGACAGAGAAGAGAAGCCAGGTCCCAAGGGGGCACACCCTGCTGCCCAGGTGCTGGGCAGCACGGAGGGGAGAAAACAGTTCCAGGTGGGCGGGTGAGCGGGGTCACCTCCCGGCTCTCCTGCAGCGAGAGGTGTCCTGGGGGCAGCAGGGGGCCGGGGAGCGAGCGATGGGAACTGCCAGCATCACACCGTCCCCTCCAGTTTCTAGAGGCCTCTTCGCACTGGATACAGGAGGGCAGGGACACGTTGTCCACCCTGCAGGTGGGAGAGGTGACGTCACACACAGGAGGGGGGGCGCAGAGCAGGTGGAACCCCAGAGTCTGGGTCCCTGCCCCCAAACACCTGGTCCTCGGCCTCGGGGAGACTCCCAGCCTCCCGGTGGGCTGGCGGCAGCTGGGCACTCAGTGCCCGTTGTGTTGCTGGAAGCTGGGGGCCTCGGGGCAAGCAGAAGAGGTGGGGGGTGGGAGGGGACAACGGGACCCACACGCCTGCGGGGCAGAGGCCCCCAGGCCGGGCTCTGGCCCACAGCAGGCAGCCCTGGGTTTCCGTACAGAAGTGCATTAACGGATGTCGGGTGCAGTCAATCAGATCGCAGCCTGACAGCCCTACCCAAAGGGCGTGCAGCGTGGCGGGGCGCCCGCAAGCTCCTTCTGCATCGAGGAACTGGGACGCCAAGGGCCTGGCTTCGCCTGAAGCAAGATGTGGCCACATGTAGACGGTCTCTTCACGGACAGACCTCTGAGCTCTTACTCCAATGCCTGTACCGCTCTGCTCTGGGGCAGGGCAGACAGCTCAGGGGGAGGAGTCCCAGAGAGGCTGTGGTGGGCGGGCGAGCCCCCCTGGCGCCCTGAATGAGCCCTGCCCGTCCGCCCACCTATAACTGCCTTTCCCCCCCTGTGCTGCTCTGCACCTGGGCAGCAGCATTTGTCTGTTTGGGACCTGGCTTCTGTTTTGGGTCCCCCATCAGACTGGGGTATCCCCAGGGGCGTGGGCTGTGTGCTCATCAGAACGGCTGGGGGTGGGGGCGCTGCGGTCAGCCCAGAAACACCTTCTGTCACTCTGGTTGCACCTGGCCATCATTTCGGTCTGAGAAGAGGAGAGAGTCCACCTCTCAGAACATCCTGGCCCAGGGAGCAGGCTGGTGGCTGCACGACTCCATCCCCGACCCGTGTCAGGGCAGAGAGCCTGGTCGCCAGGAACCACGTCACAGCACGGTTTGGGCCTGCGTCTTCCCGGGCCGGGTGCCCACCTCCGATCGGGTCTTTGGCGATGGGGAGGAGCACCCCCGGCACGGCAACCAGGTCGTCTCCCAGGGCCCAGGTCTGCTTCCCAGGGCGGGCACACCCCATCCTGGCCCATGGGGTCTGGGGCACCAGAGAGCTCCGCTGGGCTGTGCCTGAGGGACAGAACCAGCGCTCACCTCTCCCTCTCCAAGCTCTCCAAGCAGCCAAACCATCTCGGGGAGGAACAAGGATGGGCCTCCTGGGAACCTGCCCAAGGCTTTTTCCCTGGTTCCTCTGGGAAAAGATCCAGAAAAAGACTAAAAGTGTCCAATCGGAGAGGGAGGGGGGAGGGTGGGACCAGGCCCTGGGGCTCTGGGCAGCCACAAGGCCCCACGGCGGCCAAGACCGAGACTGTGTTCCCAGTGGGCCCTGCGGAGGGCTGGCGGGGCCCGCGCCCCCTCAGACCCCCGGGGTCCTCGCCGCGTTCCAGGCCTGCAGGCCAAATGCAACTTCACGGAAACCTCAGGCGTCGAACCCCCTCCAGGAGGCTGGCCTGTGGCCAGGCCGTGAGCGCGGAGCCGGGACTGGGCGCATGCACTGCGGCGCAGGCTCGGCGAGGGCCTGCTGCTCAGGAATGCTCGGAGAAGTCAGGGCTCCTCCTCTTCCAGCCCCGCTCCCTGAGATGGGTCTGTCCCCAGCTGATCTCCTGGGAGCACCAGCGACAGGCCCTGCCTGCGCACCGGCACAGCAGTGGGGCAGGCTGAGCCCAGGAGCCCACCATGGTGGCCTGAGGTCCCCGTGCGGGGTGATGCATGTGGCTGTGGACACTCCGGGCCCGACCTCAGCTGGCTGGCCAGGGCGCCAGGAGGACCCCGTTAGCGCCTTTCTCCCCTGCTCCCCCACAGTCTGGTGGCCCTTGTCCTCCAGGACCAAAATGAAGGTGATGCAGTAGGCAAGGGGGCTGGGGGGTCAGGTAGAGCCGGGTTCAAATCCTGGCCCTGGCTCTCATGGCCCCACAGACCCGGGCACGCATCTTCCCTGCTGTGAGCCTGTTTTCTCACCCGCAAAATGGTCTGACACCCCCCTGCAAAAAAAAAAAAAAAAGGGTCAGTGCCTCGTTGGCCCTCTGCTCAGCACCTGGTGTGGGCCCCCGAGAGGCCACCACGTCGCCCCCAGGGCGGCCTCGTCTGCCTCCTCCCCCCGCGGCCTGCACTTCAGTTTTTCCTTTGGCTCCTATGCACATCTTGTTCGGCTGTGGGACAGGCTGTGTTACGGGTCCCAACTCCCAAGCGCTCCTCCGTGGGGACTGCAAGCCCGGCTGCATCCACGGCCACCTTGACCACATGACCCGTTCTGGCCAATGAAACGCAAGTGAAGTGACGTGTTGTTTCCCAGGAGAAACTCTCAGAGTCCGTGTGCGGGTGGTCGGGTGAGTCCACCTCTGCCAGGGGAGGACATCGTCCACACCCACGGTGGCTTTTCCATCAGCCAGGGTTCCCGAGTGGAGGCGACACAGAGCAGAGTGGCAGCCACCCTCCCGGGGCAGGTGGCATGAGACCTAGGGGTCATATCCTGGCTGAAAACACCTTGTGGACTTTGAAAGTCCTCGAAGGGGTCCCCAAGAGCTGTGTTGCCGTCGTTAGCAGCTGCCGGGGACCGTGGGCAATCACAGGGAAGTGGTATGTCTCGGGACACGGTGGTCCTCGGGAGGCGCTCCGTGAACAGTGGACGTAGTCACGATGTGGCGTTTCTGCCCATGGACCAGGCTGACCATCATCCAGGCTGCGAGGCTGGTCTTCCTCAAGTGTGGGTGGCGCGTACCTACAGGCTTTAAGCAGCCCTCAGGGAAGGAAGTTCCTCCGTTGTATGTGTGACCTTCTTGCTGCCTGCTCCCCTCCCTGAATTCTCTTCCTCCCGTAAGAGCTGTGTAGACAGAGGCTACTTAGATGAGATTCCATGGTCTACCTGCGCCCAAGGTCAGGTTCATTACGCTGCTGCAGGAGTGGAGAATGCACCCCAGAGGAACTAGGGGCCTCTCTCCCCACCTCTCCTCAGCTGTCACTTTTCCTATTGGCTGAGCCCGTGTCAGTCTCCTCAGCCCCTCCCAGGCCCCTCCCTCCTTTGTTATTTCCCTTCTATCCTTTGCAATCAAATTGTGCACAGGGGGCCCAGAGCACCCCCTTAGCGCTGGCCTTGTGGTGCTGGAGGTCTTCAGAGTTATGGCTTCTTGATAACATTCCCCTCTTAGCACCCAGTGTGTGCTAGGTGGGGAGTGGGTGCTCAGTAAAGACTGGGTCTGCCCTCCCAAACTAATGGCTTCATGGCTGGTGGAGCCATGGCAGGGTGGTGGAGAGAGGGCTGTTCAGGGAAGTGGGTGGGGAGGCAAAGTGTCCCCTAACCCGTGCCTGTTGGGAGCAGGGCCAAGTCCGCAAGGACCACGGGTACCCAGGCCCGGGTTCTGACACCTCTCCTGAGCTCTTTCTTGCCCATTTCACTCCTGGCAGCTGGGACCCCAAACAGACCGATTCTCTCGCAAAGGATGGGGTTTTGTGGTTGGGATGGGTCCCCTCCCCTCTGCCCACCAAGGACCAGGGGCCAAGGATTGCGACAAAGGAACTCGCAAAAGCCATCTCTTTATTTTCCGTTCCTGCCGCTCCACCGGTTTGCAGAAGCTGAGGATGAGTGGGTTCTGGAGGGAAAGGGGGAGCACCTGCGCCCAGATCCTCCCCCCCCAGAAAATAGTCTTTGCACGCTGCTGAGGCTGATTAGACTTGAGAAGCAATTTAACAATAAACTCTACAGAATTAGAAATGTACAAAAGCGTCAAGACGGCTGCTGGCTGGTTTCCTGCCTCCCCATGGGGGTCGGAGTCATGCCTGTCCGTCCTGTGCAAAGGTCCTGTGGCTGGCTTAGGGGGCAGGCAGGTTCTTCCCTGGGAGGGGGCAGTCCTGCTCACCCCGCAGAAGTGTGCCCAGGTGGCCACGGTCCCTGCAGGCTCTGTGGCTTCCGAGCGTGCCTTTATGTCCGTCCTTTGAAAGTGTTCATGCAGGTGTAGGTTCCTGAGAATTTGTGGATCTCCTCCAGGGCGGCCTGTGGGAGGATGCTGGGTGGGTGGGGGTGGGGCGAGGAGGAAAGAAAGAAAAGATGGTCAGTGGGGTGCGGGACCAGCCGCTGGGTCACTAGTGGCCACCCAGATGGCGTAGTGGGGGGATGCCCACACGCCACCCCCGCCCACCCCTCCACGGAGGAAGCACTTTTGAGTAAGTAGACAAATGACTGTTCACAAGGCAAAGGGTAGGCAGGAAAAATAAGCTGTCAAAGCCACATTCTTTGCATTTCAGGGCCCACAGGTATCTCAGAGATCAGTGAACTCCAAATGCCACTTATTCAGCAAATATTTACTGTGTGGGGCTGAGCACTTAGGGGCTGGGCGTCACCTCCTGCAGGGACACTTCCCGCACTCACGCCCAGGCCCCTCCTCGGGCTCCCCACAGTCCACTGCTTCCCCGCCAAGCCCTGGCGTTGTCCTCACTGTTTACCTGTCAAGCTCATGCGGGACCTTGTGGCAGATATGTCACCCACCCCTGATTTCGGTCCCTAGCACTGGGCCAGGCACGAGAGGGACTCAGTCCATTTGTTGAATCAAACTGAAGGGCCCTGGCCCACACTGGGTGTAACTAAGATGGGAAAGGCCCCCTTCCAGCGAGGGCAATCTGGAAGGCTTCCTGGAGGTGGTGGCAATGGTGTTGCACCTGTAAAGATTTCTCCTGGGGTAGGTGAAGAGAAGGTGGAATGCAGGGAATGGGAAGGAGGGTGGTGTTTGCTCCCTGTGGGGAAGTTGCAGGGGACAGAACAGAAATTGTGTGGCTGGGAGCTTACTGTCAGAGTGCCGGGATGTTCTAGACAAACCAGCTTTTTTTTTTTTAGAATGTAGGAAAGGCTTCTAATCAGCTCCCTGAGGTGGAGGTGGCAGCCTGGCTTTGGTGCCAGCCTGAGTCCCTGCTCTCCTGGGGACGCACAGAGGTAGCCAGGAGCATCTCAGAGCAACGGTCGGTATGTATGCACCAAGGGAGGCCAGGCACTGTGCCCTCAGGTGCCTCCCGCGTCCCCCCGCACCCCGTCCTCTGCTCTGTGTCTCTGAAAGGGCTTTGAGTTTGGAGGAGAAAGGACTGGTTGGTGCGTCCCCTCCCTCAGGAGGTTTCTGTGTGCACAGTCGGAGCCCACGTGACCTGCAGCCAGAGGGGAAGCTGGTTTCCTGGGAGTCGGGGTCTGGTGAAGGAACTGGGGTGTTTCACTTCCCGAAAAGGCCTTCCGGATCAGAGGGGTTCGGTCAGCCAGGGGGTGGGGCCGGGGACGGCCGGGGGCCCAGAGGAGCCAGGAGCACAACCGTGGGTGGGCGGGATGGAGCGGCCCCTTCGGCACGGGACTCCGATGCAAAGGGTTCGCCGTCCAAAGTCAGGGAAGTTCTAAAGGATTCGATTCCGGGCAGACTCTGCAGGGGGACCATCTCTCCCATAAGCTCCCATTTCCTCCCCTGGGGGTGTGCCCTGGGGGGCCCCACCCGACCAGCACTGTGACGTGTCCGTGAACCCTGAGGCTTTGGCATCAGAAGCTCTGTCTTCCCCATTAGGGGAAATTTCCCGAAGCCTGGAGCCGACGGTGAGGCTCGAGCAGTGGTTCTCAAAGTGTGGTGGCCCAGGAACCCCTGGGGTGCCTGGGATCCCTGCGGGGGTTCTGCGAGGTCGAACTACTTCTACAACAACACTGAGATGTCATTTGCCTGCTCGCTCCTTCTCTCGCGCCCGTTCGCCTGAGTGTGCCAGAGGCTGCACAGATGAAAGGACGTGTGACATCACAACAGATTCAAATCAGAAGCAGACATGGGAACCCAGTTGTCTTCAATTATGTTACACAACAAAGAGCTTCGCAAAAAAAAAAAAAAAAGTAAAACAATGCCATTCTTCTCGCTACATTTTTCTCGTTTGAAAATTTACTGACTTTGCATTAAAAAAATCATTTATGTTGACAGATTTTTATTGTTATTTATGAATAAACAATACTGTAAATATAAACACATGTATAAATCTTGTAAAATTTCTTCTCCATTTTCATGTCTAATACAGCAAACAGCAGTAGATACAACTCACATAAGCTAAAGCTCTTTGGGTGCCTCGATAATTTTTAAGGCTGTAAAGGGGTCCTGAGACCAGCAAGTTTGAGAACCACTGCCCCAAATTAAGAACAGAAACCCTTGCATGCAAGCCACCACTGTTGTCTTTGTGCCCACAGCAGACATGACTAATGGATTGCATGTGTGTGCCCACAGCAGACACGACTAATCAATCGTGTGTGTGTGTGTGTGTGTGTGAGGCCTCCTCTCCAGGAGAAGGGACAGTGGTTGGCTGGAGCCTTGCCCTGAGCGATCTCCTCGGCCCCATACCTTTTCAAGATAATGAGGGCGTGCATCGTCCACGGGAGCAGGAGGAGTGCCTGGTTGAGCTGCACGGCCTCCACTGTCCTCCGGGCCACCGTCTCTGGCTTCAGAGGTGGGAAGAGGTTGGGGAACCTGGAGGCAGGAAGAGAATCTGTGGATTTCCCTGGGACACGAAGGTGCTTCTGCCCACAGCCTCCGTGGCTGACAGGTCTGGGTCATCCCCTTGGCGTCTCCCTGAGACCGAGAGACTTGAGTCCTGTTTGGGATCTTCACTCTCTTCCTCCCTCTGCCCACAGACGTGTCAGGGTACCCCCACTCCCTCGCTCTGCCCACTGAGCCTCCTGGGCTCCGTCGCTCCCCGGGGCTCCCAGAGCTCCAGAGCCGGCTTACCTGTGGTGCCCGGGGAGGGGGCGTGGCAGTGCCCACCGCCTGGCCCCTCCCTCCCCTTCTCACTCACTCTGCTCCGGCCGCCCCCGCCAATCCTTCGGTTCCTGCCACTTAAGTTCCTTCCTGTCTCAGGGTCTTTCACCCGCTGGCCCACCGGCCTGGCTCCTCCCTCCCAGCGCCTGCCCCAGGAGGTGTCTCAGCTCACCCACTCACAGTGGCCTCTAGTCTCGTCCCCCTGCGGATTTGCTTCACGGCGTTTACGTCCAGAGTGGCCTTGCCTGTTTGCCTGTGTCCTTGTCGGTGAGACCACTGTCTCACTGTCTGCCCCTCAGACTGACCCCCCCAAGGGCAGAGACCTGGTGGGTTTGCTCCAGCGTATTCCCTGTGGGCTGGGTCCGGCACATAATAGGAGCTCCGAAAAGGCTTGCTGAGCCCTGACCAGTGTGGCTTAGTGGGTTGGGCATTGTCCCCCAAAGGAAAAGGTCACTGGTTCAATTCCCGGCCAGGGCACATGCTTGGGTTTTGGATTCGGTCCCCGGGGTGCATACAAGAGTCAAACTGGTCGATGTTTTTCTCTCCCTTTCTGTTTCCTTCCTTTCCCCCTTCTCTAAAAATAAATAAGTAAATTCTTAAAAAAATAAAAGAAATGCTCGCTGAATGAACGGGTGCTGAAAATGAGTGGCTGGTCCCCTGCTCATCCCGCCTGGAGGCGGGGCCTCTGCGGAGAATGCCCCGCTCTGCCCAGCCTGCTGCTCATTGGCTCCCTGGTTCACGGACACCTTTACGGAGCGCTTTCCCTGCGGTGGACAGACGAACACGTGACCCAATAGGCGACGTCAGGGGCTTCTCGTGCCTGTTCGCGGGCATCTCACCGGAGACCCACAGAATGATGCCGTTCCCCGAGGGCCCGGCCTGTGCGAAGTGTGCACCGGGGATCACTCACTCCGATTCACAGAGGAGGAGACTGAGGCTCTGGGGCGTGGGTGGGGGATGAAGGATTCAAACCAGGCCTGCACAGAGCCCCAGGCCCCGCCCTCACGCGCTGCCTGCCCCGCCCCTCTGGGGCCTGGAGGCCCAGCGCAGAGGCTGCTGGCTCTGACCTCCGTCCCACAAAGCGCCTGTGAGCTGTTCTGGCACCAGGAGGATTAAGGGTGGTGAGTCGCCTGGGTCTGGAGCCACCCCGAGCGAAGGACAACTCTCCGGCCCCCCACGCCCTCTGGGTTGGCCTCGGAGAGTCTACGGATCTCAGGCCCCGCCCTGCGCTTCCTTTGCTGTCACAACATGCCTCTGAGGTCCCAGGGGCCTGCAGTCCGGAAGGAAGGCCGGCCTCCAGGGTCCCTCGGGGCTGAGCGTGTCGAGGCAGCTCACTGGTGTGGGAACCCTACAGACAGTCTGCTTTTCCAGGCCTCGCCTGGGCCCGTCCTGCTACGGGGGGGGGAGGGCAGGCGAGGGCCGGGGCCAGACTGCAGGAGAAGCTGGCGAGGGGCCCCATTCTCCTTTCTCTCCACGGCGGGTGGGAGGGGCATCTGGGAACCACCAGCTCTTCACTCCCACGGAGGCGGCGCAGACGCTGGGGGAAGCACGCCCAGCCCGTTGCCGTCTGTGTGGCCTTGGGCCAGTCACTTTGCGTCTCTGAGCCTCAGCTCCCTGTCTGTGAAATGGGGACACGAGCTCTCTCTCACGGGGGTGCTGCGGCCAGAGGCGGCAGAGTTCGTAGAGCGTCTGGCGAGGGTGGAACACGAAGGTCAGGCAACGGCCATGCATGAATAACAGCACCCAACTATATGGCCACTGTTGCCGGGAAACCCGTCAATTTTGCCCTAAACATCTGCCTCCCGCCCTCCACCCTGGGAAGCTGCTAAGCCTGGCTGGGGAGGAAGCCAATGCTTTTCTCCCTTTTTTTCAGGAAGTGGGAGCTGGCTAGGCGCTAGTCAACACCAAGCACCCTCGGACTGGTCTTCTCCCTAGCCCTCGGGGCTCCCTGCTCCACAGGTACGCAACCTCCGTCTAGCAGGGGCGTCCAACCTGCAGCCCACCAGCCACCTGCAGCCCAGGACGGCCGTGAATGCGGCCCAACACGAAACTGTAAATTCACTTAAAACATTATGAGATTTTGTGTGTGTGTGCGTGATTACATGTTGCAATGTATTTCATGTGTGGCCCACGACAACTCTTCTTCTTCCAGTGGGGCACAGAGATAAGGTTGGACACCCCTGTTGAAGCTCCCTGCCTGCCAGGCAGGGTGGTTACCCACGCACAGGAGCCTCGAACCTGTGGAGAAGGAAGGGGGCACTCTTCTCAACCCCCGCTCAGAGAGGAGGAAGCTGGGGCACAGAAAAGCGACTTGCCCAAGGGGACACAGGCAGTTTGGGCCCACACTCACAAATGAGGAAAAATGACAAGGAAAACCTGGCATTTCCGTCTTAAAGTGCTGGAAGGCGGGGTCTGCCAGTGTCCCGCCCACTTCTGCGCCCAGGCGCCCTATTAAAACTGAGATGGCTGCTGCTGCATTTCCATCCAACGTGTACTCATTGAGCACTTGCTGTATGCCCGGATGAAAAGAAACCAACCCAAGACCTCCTGGGCAGAGGGAGCCAACTCGGAACATTGACAGTCATTAATCCAGCCTCCTCTAAATTCAGAATCTATGATAATTTGCATGTGAGTCAGGTGGAGATGGATACTTCTGTGACACACTGAAGGGACAGTCTGCCAGCGAGATGAATAACAGATGCATTTATGAAGATGTTTATCGTTAGTAGGGACAACAAGAGCAAGGGGTTCGTTACCAAGCACCGAGCGTGCCCTGGGCTTTGCTCTAGATGTTACTCGTGTTGTTTTTAATTCTCCCAATACCCTCACCAAGAACATCCTATTTCCACCGTTGTGCACATGAGCGAAGTGAAGCTCAGAGAGGTAACAAAACTGGTGTAGGAGTTCCCGGCTGCACACAGGTGAGGTGTGACCAGAACCAGGTGTCCTGATTCTTGACCACCGAAACCACACCCAGCCGTCACCAGGAAGCTGTGCTGAGGGACTCCCACACGGCACGCACGAGCCGAGTGCCTGTGATGTGCATGCAACTAAGGGCATACACCTTAAGTGTACAGTGGGGTTCATTTTTACCCATGTCACCAGTGCCCCGATCACCAAGACAGAACATTTCTAAAAGCCTGGAAAGTTCCTTCGTGCTCCGTTGCAGGCTCACCCCACCCCTGTAGGGATGGCTCGGTTCTGACTTCTATCGCCACGGCCCGGTTTGGCCTGTTCTAGAACCTCATACAAATGGAATCACACAGAATAAACCCTATTGTCTCTGGCTCTTTGGCTTAACACAACCCTTCTGAGGTTCACACACAGATCAGCACTCCGCTCTCTTCTGACAGCGGGTGGAACTCCGCTGCACGCACTGGTGCTTCGGAAGCGCTCTCCGCCCTGAACTCGGGACCCCACACCTCTGTAGCATCCCACCACCTTGCAGGTGGACAATCAGGTGCCGGACCTCACAGCCAAAGGGAAAGGGCTCCACGTTATCCGTGTATCTGTGCTCTCTCTGCGCATCCTGAACCTCCTGCCTTGTCTGATCCGCTGCTGGGGCCCGGCTCACTGACCTGACCCTCATGCCCTGGAACATCTCGGTGCTGGTGTGGAAGGGCAGCACGGTGGTGGCGCTGACACCTGGACAGTCCAGCAGCCCCAGGGTCAGGCTCTCCATGAAGGCGAAGGCCGAGGCCTTGGAGGTGCAGTAGTCAATGGCGCCGGGGATGGCGGACAGGGCCAGCACGGAGTTGAGACACACGATGTGGCCGTTCTGCAGCTCCAGCATGCGGGGCAGGAAGGCCTTGGTGGTCTGAGGGCGGGCAGGGAGGTCAGTGAGGATCAGCTGTGCCCCCAGAGGCCCTTGACCCCCTCAAGGAGGACAGACAGCCCTGCACACACATACAACCCCAATGACGGAGCCCTTCTGGGTCAGGAGGGGGCGAGGGCTGCCTGCTACAGGAAGTCCACCCGGTCACGCCTCTTGTCCAGCCACCCTGCCCTTGGACATCCCTCCCGACCTGACCCCAAGCCCTGGGGAGCCTCTCCTTGCTCCCTTCCAGCACCCAGGCCCCCTGGATGGAAGGAACACATTCACATTCCCAGCCCAGGCCCGGGTCTCCCCGGGAGAGTCCTCACCCAGAACTGGCCCAGGGTGTTGATGTGCTGGGACTTGAGCAGGGCGTCGTCGTCGCTGTCCATCAAGCTCTTCCCGTGGACCACGGCGGCGTTGTTCACCAGGATGGTGATGTCACCCACCTGCAGCGGACACGGGCCGCGGGCTCCATGAGGGCAGCCCCAGGGGCCTGGGCCCTACGGGGGTGGGACCCTGCCATATCACCCTTCTGAGCATCGGCCGTGGTTTGTAAGGTGGAGCTAATGAGCCTGTCAGAGTCGTTCTGAGGATCAGAAATAATTTATGGCACGAGCTATACCTGGCACATGGCACGTTTGTAATAAATGAGGTTATTGTCACGTAAAAGCTGCGGACATTCACCATGTGCTTGTCGAGGCGGCTCCTGCGCCCTCAGAGCTCACTGACACACTCAGTCTACACGGATAGCCGGGGCCAGGGGCAGGGTTTTCCCTGACGGAAATGGGGTATCGCCCACCCACCCCCCAACTGGCCCCAGGGCCTAGGGAGAGAAACTCACCGGGTCTAAATTCCAAAGGGGACAAGAGATGATTACTTCTGTCATGGGATCAACCCACACACCCAATCCCTGCCCCCTGAATCACACACACGCGTGCCCACACGCACACACACGCATGCCCACACACGGCGTGGGCCAGCCTCACGGGAGGGCCCTCAGAGGCACTCTGGAAACAGCCGCTCTGCCACCGGCAGTGCCGTGTCCCAGGCCACACGAGAAGGTTCTCCCCGGCTGCTGTTCTCCGTGTCCCGCTGCGCTGAGCGGAGGATGCACCCTCCCAGGCCGCTCACCTTCTCCCGGACGGCTTTGGCCGTCTGGTACACCTCCTCCCGGTTGCCCACGTCACAGATGAAGTAGTGGCATTCCGTGCCCATCTGCCGAATCTCCTCCGTCGTCTCCTTCAGGCATTTCTCCGTCCGGCCCCAGAGAACGATCTGGAAGGAAGGCATGACAGCACCGAATGAGCCCATGCCATCCAGAGAGCGTACGCGGAGCAAATGAATAATACGATTTTTTACAGGGGTCCGGCCCACTCTGAAGCGAACCCGCGGTTTCTGAGCCCGCTTCTGAGCAATCCATTGACGGGTTATTCGCCAGTCGTACACAGTCCTTCCTTCCAGCAGGACGCCTCCTCCCAGCCCAATCCAGTTATCCCACATAGTTAGAGGCAATCGCCCAGCTCTTTCGTAGAATGTTCCAGAAGGTTCTCAGGTAGGAATAACCTGGCTTTCTCACCAATTAGGTCTAGAGCCAGGTATAGGAGCGCCAGCCGTGAGACGGCAATGGAGGCTCGGGCCATGAGGCGCACGGTGGGTGAGCCCAGCCTTCACCCAGCCGTGGTCACACGCGGTCACACGCGGTCACACGCGGAAGGAGGGCCGAGGACGAGAGGCAGCCAGGCTCCCGCCGAGGAGGAAACGGCCTCACCCCCCAGTTAATAAACCCAGGCCTCATTACACCAGGAGGCGACCCTGGCAGGACCCAGAAATGGATTCTGAAAAGGGTTGGACAGTTTAATGAATGGCCGGCCACAAAGGCTCAGCAGAGCAGCCCAGCTGTTTCCCAACCCTGACCTAAGCGAGGACGACACAGCCCCTCCTGCCGTGGCCTGGGGTCCAGAGAGGCCCCTGTTGGTACAAGGGTTGGAGGCAGTGGGACTAAGGACCCCAACTAAGATTCAGGGGCGCGGAGGGAGGGAAAGCTGGGGCTGGAGACAAGCAGGGAGAGAAGGGATGAGAGGCTCCTTGGGGATTAGGCTGATGGGTCTGTTTTTTGTTTCTTCTGTTGCTCTTTAAAAGCATCAGTGAAACGCCTCCTCTAAAAATAAAACCCAACACGGAAACCCCGACGTGTGGAACCGACACAAGGAATAAGTTTCAGGTCCAAGTTCGTATTCTCCCACTTTGAAAGCAACTAAAGAGACGGAGAGGCTGTGCTGGGGAGGCGGCGCCTTGGAGGGGGCGTTCCAGACAGAGGGCCGATGACCTCGGGCCGGAATCCAGCTGGTTTCTGTAATTTGCTCTGTGGCAACGGCAGGGCAGAGCGAAGTCCCACCGATTAGCAGTAGTTAGTAGTAACAGTTGACCAGCTGTTGACCTTGAGATCTCAGAAGCTTCCCTCGGGCAGCCGGGGCCCCAGGTAGGTGGGGCTCGTAGGGACACACCAAGGTGTTGTGGTCTCGGGTGAATTTGATTTTTTTTTTTATTAGAGTTTTAAAAACGTTTGAAGTAGTTTCAAAAGGAAAATAAAAGCGTTTTCTCAACCGCTAAGACAACTCTGGGAAAGCCCGGTTGGAAAACCCACCTGGTCCAGCCACTTGGTTCATTTTAATTACAGTCCTGACCCACACGATGGGTTGTGGGGACCACGCCCTCGGGGCCTCTCCTTGACCCAGTGGCCCATCAGGGGCAAACGAACTGCAATTAGACAGGCTCCAAGAGACCCTTTCTTGTCTGTTAACTGCAAACAGACCTAGGACGTGCTCCTCCAGGCCGGGCCGCGGAGGTACCTCCCGGGGAAGATTAGACACAGCGTCTGCTCTGGGGAGGCAGTTTAGTGCCAGCCCGCCCCTTTCCACCCCAGCGTCCTTCCATCCTTCCTGGTCACCCCGTCAGTCTGTCCGTCCATCCATCCTTTCTCCCATCTATCCATCATCCCGCATTCCTTCCTTCTATCCACCTCACCCCATCCCACCATGCATCCATCCATCCATATCTATCTACATTCATCCATCCATCCATATCTATCTACATTCATCCATCCATCATCTATCCATCCATCCATCCTCCATCCATCCATATACACCCATGTCCACCCATCATCCTCTGAGTGTATCTGAGTGAGTGAAGGTGATCCTTGGCCTCCTTTCTCCTGCCTAACCCCATCCCGCCTCCAACACAGAAGGGAAGCAGGACCCTGGAGCTGACACAGCTCCCTCGGGTCTGGTGAGGCTGGGGACTAGGAGAGTTTTGGGGCAAGTTGTCAGAGGCGTGGAGCTCAAAGTAGGGGGCTTGTTGGAAGGTGCATGGGTCCAGAGGCCTGGGAGCACCAATGGCACCGCTGAGGGTCCGGGTCAGCAGCCCAGACGGGTGCCCTTCCTTCTGGGCGTGTTGGGTTCTTCTGGGCACAAACAGGTGTGCATGGGGTTCCAGCAACGAGGGCACCGAGGGCCCGGGGGCTGTGGGGCCAGAGTAATTCTTCCCGGACCCCCAAGTTCCCAGGTGCAGCAAGGGGGGCAGGGGCCTCAAGCCCCAGTGTGGTGTGCCCAGGACACGGGCAGTCAGGGGACCCGGGAGGCCAGCCTTGCTTACGTGGCTGGAAGGACAAGCCGAAGATGAACTTGGGGCTGGGGTGTGGGAGGCGAAGTGAAGTCGCACCCCTTGCCTTCTGTGGGTGGGGCCTGCCCCCGGCGACACCCTGAGGTTTGGCCATCTCCTTTAGAGGCTCTGTGGAGGGTGCCCCTGGTGGCTGTGGGACTGGCCTCCTCAGGCCTCTGCTCAGAGCCACCACCACCCCCGCCCCAAACCTGTGGGGCTGGAGGCCCCGAGGCCCTTGACTCCGGCTTGTGCGTTTCCCACCCTGTGCCCAGCCAGCCTGTGCTCTTTGTTGCACGGATGAATGGAAGTGCTGGGGCACAGATAGGGTGGCGTGGGAGGCAGTTAAATGGCCTCTCTAAGGCCGAGGCTGTCCCATCTTCCCCGACGGAGTTGTTCAGGGTCTCGGGACCCTCAACACAGAGTCTACTGAGACCAGCGGCCCGCAAGACCTGGGGTTCCCCAGAGCTTCAAACCACCCTGGGCTGAGCCTCGAGGCCAGGAGCCAGGTCAGAGGCGGAGGCCCTGGGAGCAGGGCAGGAAGGGGTTTTAGTCTCAGATAACAATGAGGCTCAGGGCGGGGGGCATGCATGGGCCCTACTGTGTCTCTGTGTGTGTGTGTGCAGCGCTGCCTGACACATCCCCAGGCCCGTGGGGGAGGTTCAGAGTCCCCGAGGGCCACCAGGCCATGCACGTTCCCATCTTCGGACCCGGGTGCATCTCCATGGTGGCGGCGTGGCTAGGGCTGGTCCCTGCAGGGCGGACGGCGAGGGAGCTGAGTGGAGGGCATGGGAATGGCTGGGGCCACTGCGGCCGCTGTCTCTCCCTGGGCCTCTCGTCTCCCTCAAGTCCCCCCCCTCCCCAGGCCCGGCTGGGCATCGGGACCCTGGCTGGTAGAGCTCAGCAGGCCCGCCAGGTGGCCCCTGCCCAGAACGGCCTGCTGCCAGCCCTGGAGAGTGGACAGAAGAAGAGCCCGCCCAGGGCCGGGACGCAGGTGAGCCCCCGGCCGCAGGAGGCAGGCGGGGGTCCGAGAGGAGCATGGGGCGGGCGGGCCGGGGAAGGGGCAGATTTACGAGCCCTGGGAACCCAAGGCAGAGCCTCCTCTTAATTATCTCCCATGACAGGGAGCAGCTGGGGAGGGTCAGCGGCCCGGGATTTACTCTTAAGCTGGGTTTATAAAATAAGGGCTCAGGGTAGCTCAACACCTTCTGGCCTGCCCTCCCCTCTGGGGCAGACGGTTGGCTTCTGTCCTCCTGAGCCTTGTGACTGGGGAGGAGGAGGTCAGAGGGAGGACAAAGACCTGTGACCTCCCGGAGCGGTAGGCCCAGACCTACGACCTGTGAGGGTGGTGGGTCCACACCGGCCACAGCCGCCCGGCCCCGGCTGCGGAGCCTCCCAGCCAAGGCGTGGCTCCAGCGCCCGCCCCCAGAGCCATCCCGACAGAGGTGACAGCCAGCGGGAACCCCCGCACAGCCCCCAAGTTGAAGGCTGTTGTTGTCCACTTTTTGTAAGGATATAAAGGTCCAAAGCCCCCCTCGGTGGGTGGCGGAGGCAGGATTCAAACCCAGAATCCTTGTCTTCCCCAGAGGCACCCCTGAGCCCCGAGGCACCGAGGGATGTTCTGAGCTTTAGGAGTTCTGGGCCTGTGTCACGTGTCCCCACCCCAGCGCCCTTCCCCACCCGGTCCTCCTTCAGCCTCATGCTGCGCCCCACACAAGACGACGGCCCATCTGCTCACCAGAACAGCGCAGAGGGCCCGCGGCGGCCTGGGCGCCGTGCCCGGTGCTCGGGAGCCGACAGAGAGCAACTCGGAGCAGACACAGGCCTGCCTCCGGGGGCCGAGTTCCAGGGGAGGAAGACCCAGAGGAAGGAGAAAACCGTGGGACACGAACGACCATGAGCGGGACAAAGACTAAATGGGGGACTTCGTTGAAATCGGGGGATTTATGGGGTGGCTGTATTACTTCCTGGTATAAGGAAGCTGCAGCTCAGAGAGGCTAAGCACCTAGTCTGAGGTCACACAGCAGCTGAGTGACAGCCGGGGTGTGAACCCAGACTTGTCACCACCCTTCCCTCTGCCGGCAGGAGAGAAGCCGTCTCCTCCCTTCACGTGGTCTCGTGGGGACTGCGCATGCCGGAGCTGGCACCCCCTAAGTGTTCAGTAAGTGCCCCCTCCCCCCCCGCCGGGATTTCCCATGGCGGGGAGGAGCCGAGAAGAGCACGGCGCAGCCTCTCCGCCTGCCCTCCTCTGCAGCCGTTAGAGCGGTGAGTGCTCACGGCACGGAAATACGCTCCGAGAGCTAACGCTCCGGAAAACAGAAGGTGCGGCGTTACCTGCACAGGACAGTCTCCCCGCTACAAACTCGGCAGGTGGAGGGGGGCCGCCAGGCTGCACAGGGACAGGGCATGTCTCGGGGCAGGGTCGTGGCTGACTGTCGTTTGCTTCCTCCTGCTCCTCCGTGTCAGGAGCAAGGACTCTAAGGGACAAGTGCCGCCATTTATGATCTTAAGCCACGAAGGCGGAGCCGAGCTTTCCCGGCTGATGAGGCCCAGGGAGACGGATCCTTCACGCACAGGGGTCTCGGCGCCGCAGGCCCAACGCCTGCTGCCCCCGCCCCCCT